TTGCTCTCTCTGTCCTTCTCTCTCTCTCTCTCTCCCCGCCCTTGCCCCCTTCCTTCTTTCTCCTTCTCTCTCTCTCCCCTCTTGCCCTCCTCACCTTCTCTCTTTCTCCATTGCTTACTTCCCTCTTTCCCTTTCTCCTCTCTCCTTCCCTTCCTCTCTCTCTCTTTCTCTCCACCCTTGCCCACTTCCTTCTTTCTCCTTCTCTCTCTCTCCCTTCTTGCCCCCTCACCTTCTCTCTCTCTCACCTGCTTCCCTCTTTCTCTCTCTCTTTCCCTTTCCCTCTCTCTCTCTCTCTCTCCCTTGCCTACCTTCCTCTTTCTCCTTTTCTCTCTCCCTCTCTCCGTTGCCTACCTCCCTTTTTCTCATTCTCTCTCTGTGTCCTTCTCTGTCTCTCCTTCTGTCTCTCTCTCTCTCTCCTCTGTCTATCTCTGTCTCTTCTTCCCTTGCTCCCGTCCCCTCACCTAAAAATCTCCTCATGAGAGCTAGGCTCTAAAATCCCATTTTGTTTCCCACCCCAGCAATGAAGGAAACAGAGCAGTTTTTTTTTAATGGGCCTGGTTGCATAACTTCTAGGACTTGTGTTTCTCTTTGGGGGCTGGAACCGAGCTCAAGCTGAACTGGCAGATCACTCCTGCTGCCAACTTGAGAAAAAGAAACCTCCTTTCCCAGAGCCCAAACACAACATGAAGCTAGAAATAAACTGCTTTCCATTTGGATCCATTTATTTATGTAGTTTCAAAGCCCTTCTCAAAGGGATAAACAAGCCTGCGGGCAGCCCGCAGGCACCGGCCACTGGCCTCAGTAGACACAGGGCCCAGGTTGGGGAGACCTTGGCTATGGGTTATGGAAAACCAATTACCTTTACATTTCTTCTCTTCGGTTGGGTCGGCCTGGGTGCTCGCCACTCCCTGCTCATGGGCCTCGCCCGGGTCGAGGTGGAACACTGAGCTAGTCCAAGCTGCTGTAGTCTGGAGCCGGGATGCCGGTGGTGGCGGCTCGCTCTTCAACAGCCCACTGCTGCTCTCTGAGTGGCCCTTTCTGTGTAAGCAGTCTTCGGACATTCCTACGAGGCCCCAGGGGTAGTCTTGGTCAGGAGGGGGCGGAGGAGGCTTCCGCTTGTCCCATGCTGGAAGGCCATTTTCTGGAGGGTTGACAAACACAAGTTGGCATGCTGTTGGCATTGTCAAGATCTAGTTGGGATGCAGGCTGGGAAAACAAGTAGCTTTTCTGGTCTCCTGGGCTGACAGTGTTCACATCAACTGCAGGGATAAGAGGGCAGAGCTGTTCAGCCTTGGGGACTGAGCCTCTGGGCGTGGGCTGCTACTCTACTGGACCTACGAATTCCCTTGCCTGTAGCGCCTGGAATCATGCGCCTGATGCCAGGCCCACTGCTACAACAGTGGGCCCCAAGGGCAAGTGGAGACCAATTTATTGCCTCGCTTGATGACCATTTGAGGTCTTGTGGGTCGGGGCTGGTCGTGAACAATTTTCAGATCCTTAGTACATAAAACAACCCGGACTCGTCCTGGCTTGACCCGGATCTTATCAGAGGCTGACCTGAGGGACACTGCTGCCCAAGTGTGACATGCTGACGTGTACACACTTCGCAAGGCTGGATGCTACTGTCCTCCCAGACAGTCACCAAGGCTGGCCCGTGAGAAGAAAACTACGGATGGCGCTAACAAATAGCAGAGGGCTTAGTTAGGCTGGCAGTGCTATCAGTGGGGAAGAGGGGAACTGAAAAATGGCCAAATTTCAAATGAAAATCTTCTTTGTTTTTGTTTAATGTTATCTGGAATTTTTTTTACATTCTAGAAATAACATGGGGGAGAGAGGCAGGGGTGGAGGAATAGCTAATATAGCATCATTGGAGCTGGAAAGGTCCTTAAAAGTCATCTAGTCCACCCCCTTCATTTTACAGATGGGGAAACTGAGGCCCACAGCACTTACATAACCTGTCCAAGGTCATATAGGAAGAATACATCAAATGTGGGATTCGAACCCAGGTTCTCTGACTTCAGATCCAGTGCTCTTTTCACTGTGCCAGGCTAGAAAAGTGAGCTCTTTTCATGGGGACATCTTTTTTTGACTCAAGGACCCAAAGCTGAGTTTGATTTGAAGAAAAAATGGTCTTTACTAGGAAGTGTCATGGGTTGATTAGGTTGACATGCAGTGGGGGTATGTTAGGGTATCTTTTCCCATAAGTTTATAGGGACTCTGCAACTGGCTATCCAGAAAATGGTAGAAAAGTCAACAGTGAAAAGAACAAAAGGCACGTCTGCTTCCCACCTCTCTCTAGTGGTGAGCTCCATCTTCCCAGAACCCTCATGGCACACACATATAAATCATAGGGTCCAAAATGGCAAGACAACACACACACGCAGGCACGTAGGCTGGACACATGTATTTTCACAGACTCTAATGGGGCCTCAGAATACCAAGAAAGATCTTGTACTACTCTTAAATGCACAAAGATAAAAACAAATGCACGGATATGCAAACCAAATAGACAAACCACATACTACACTAAGACCACCACAGCTCACAAGTTGGGGGGCTGGGAGCTTATAGGACCATTAGGCAGCCATTGATTTCCATTCCATCCATATGGTGAAGGGATTTTCATGCTTCTTTTACCATCCACTGCTTGGACACAAGCTCTTCCTCTACCTTGAAGCCTAGGATCAGATGAGGACTGACTTCTACAAACCCATTGAGGCCAGACACCTAAATGAAGTCCTTTCTGGTCCCTCTGGCGGCTAATGTCCTCTGCCCCTCCCAATGAACTTTCTATTTATTCTGTATAGATGCAGTATATCCTTACATGGGTCCATGCTGTTTCTCCCTGGTAAGAATGTAAGCCTCTTGACAAGAGAGATTGCTTCCTTTCTGTTTTTGTATCCTCGGAATCTGCATAACGATTGGTACATAATAGGTGCTTAATAAATGTTTGTTCATTAACTGATTGAAATACCCAAAAAAGGCACAGGCTTCTTACATGTCACTCCTCTCTAAATATGATCTAGTCAAACTGGCCTATTGGCTGTTCCTTGCATATAATGCTCTATTTCCTATCTCTTTGCCTCTATACTGGCCATCACCCACCCTGGAATGGGATCCCTCCTCACTGCTGCCTTGAAGAAGGCCTGGCTTCCTTTAAGGTTCTGCACATGTTACCATCTGCAGGAGGCTTTCCCCTCTAAGGTTACTTTGTACCTACTCTGAATGTACCATCTATCTATCTATCTATCTATCTATCTATCTATCTATCTATCTATCT